GAGGCAAAAACCGCACTCCTCCTGAACCCTTTGCTGGGGCTACAAGCCTGGAAGTACTTTCCAAATGCATGCTGTAGCCTTTTTACACTGGATTGTAGAAAATGTTTTTTTTATTCAGCAAGTACCTTTACAATTCAGGTGTTTTAGCAGTTATAGATCTGATTTAAAAAAAATCTGTAGCTTACATGTCTGTTTTCCTAAAACCGGACTGTGTCTAAAACAGGGTAAAATAGTATTTGCAAGAAAGTGTTTACCTTATAGAGCACCACAGTGGGTACTTCAAATCTCAGGATGTTGCTTGTCTGTGATTGACAGGTTACCAAACTTCAAGCCAACTAACAAAAGTTATTTTTGGTTCTGACCAAAAATGTTTCCTGGGCCCGCTGCATATTCAGTGGGCCTTCACATGACAAGCATGGACATATGCTGCAATGATCTGTGGTTCATGCCAGAAACTGAACTTCTCACATTGTGTCCCAGGCATAAATAGCTTTGTCCGTTTTGCCAACATTTAGCACGGCTGCTGAATTGGAGTGCCATCACAGAGGTCAGCTGGTGAATGCTCCCCCTCTCCTCTCTGCTCTGCCTCAACCCTCGCTGCTGTACAAATGCCAACTGACAACAACTGACACAGATGGTGAGCAGAAACACAGAAGGACAGGCAAAGGAAGAGAACCACCCACAGGAGTAAGAAAACAGGAAGACTCTACACACACTGTCCAAGAGAGGATATTGCCTGACAACATTATCAACTCATGTATTTTAAACCTTTTTAATTTGAATCTTTTCTTTTTTTTTTCTACTTTTTTAAATAATTCTTTTTTTTTTCAGCACATGCCATATGAGAATTTGGGGATTATAAAAGTACCTGAAAGAATTGCTAGGTTTTCAGCATGCATAGCTGTTCGTATTTACAGGTTTGTATGTACAGGGATGGGCCAAAAACAGACTGCTCTACAGTACTGGGTTTATTTACATCCAGGTCAGAGGGAGAGGTCAATGTCATAACTACAGATGTGGGGTGAGGGGTCACATGCATAGGGTCAGAGAAAGCTCATATGGCTGAGTACAACTTGGATGATGAAGACACAGAACAGAACACGGCAAAGTAACATTACTGTTAATTCAACAACATCACATCTCCCCCACTTCCCCTTTTTGCTTTTGAATACGCTCAATAAGGAGTTTTCAACAACTGATTATTGCGTAACACTATACAAGGACATTTCTATTGCAAGTCCATGAGGTCCTTGGGTAATGAGTCAATACTGACATTGGAAGACTTGGATCTGATCCCAGAGCAGTTCCAGAGCCATAGTAGTGGAGCCCGGGCTAAGTGCAGGCTCTTTGCTGCTTATCTACAGTCAGCTTATTGCAGGGTGCTTTTTATGGATTTCCTCTGTATTTGGGTGTTTTTATTACCCACGAAAGCAGATATACACAAAAGTAAGTAAAATCTGCTCTCACTTGATATAGTCCTGCTCCTTTGGTTTGTCATATTGCTGTGATCTTTGTGTTTTATTTTTAGCATAGAGGATAATTTTAGATTTAGGGTGAACCTCATCTGTCCCATCTTCTCCCCTCCCCGAAATCAGTGTGGTAGTAGCAGAGCTCTTGTTCTTTTGGGGAATGTCCGATTAAAGTCTCGGGTCATTCAAGACAAGTCCTGGTCAAGTCTCATGTCTTCATCTGAGTCTTTCAGGTTTCTGAAGGCTGACTGTGCTCACTAATGACACAGCATTACACCTAGGATTTAATTGTTTGTATTTCAAAACCGAGACCATACAAAAAAAAAAGAAAAAAAAAAAAGAAGCTACTAATGTTAAACTAAATGCTAAAGTCGTGCCAATTCGTGCCAGAGAAGACTTGGAGGACTTGGAATAAAATATCTGAGGCAGGACCTTGTGAGTGGCTTCCTGAACAGGCCATTTGCACAGCAATAGGCGGGGAACAACACACTCATAAATTTGATCACAATGATTATGTAAATGCACTTAAATTACTACAAGTCTTTGCATTAACCTTTAACATGGCAAACTGCTGCATATTGTTATAATTAGTCTTAGTATCAGAGATGAGTCCACGTCAAATCTCAAGTCCCCGTTTCTGCAACTTAAGTCTGAGTCAGAGTCAGAGTCTACAGCTCTGGGTAATAGAGAACAACTCTTAAACACTACAGGTGTTTTTTTCTGAAAACTACTATACACAAGGTAATGATTCACATTTAGTTGCAGAAGATAAAAAGACACACAGCAAAGTCCCTCAGTTTGTAGACAGCTAAACTTACAGGCATAATCTACAGTTTCACATGGGTTAGAAGTGGCTGTTTCACCAGAGATGTGTATGATGCACACTGGTTCGGTGACATTACCTTTCATGTAGATTGTCCCAAGTGTTTATCTGTCCGTGCTCGTGTGCAGGCGCATGCACATGTGAATATGTGTTTGTGTGTACTTGTGTAATGTAAGTGTATCAAGGTTGTTGCGCAACCCCTCTTGTTCTTTTTCCCACTACCTCACACACCCCTTGCCTCCTATCTGCAAACACACATGCGCACGCACACACAATGATAGATGGCTGTGGTGGGTGGCTGAGCATGTTAATGCCTAATCTCATCAGCCTTATCTTCTACAGAGGTCGCAAGGTCAAGTGGTGAGGGGGATGAGCTAAACACCAATAAGATAGCACATTGCTGGACAGTCCACGTTTGTGCTGTGTGTCCTCTTACCACTGACTGGACTGCAGCAGCCTGCAAAGAAACAGTCATATAGACTCTTGCTTTTCAAGGAAAATTTTTCAAAAAATGGAAGTACTTTTGAAAAAAATACTGAAGTCTTCATTACAAATTCAGCCACACAAATCTGGATTATGAACATGAAAGTTTTTTTTCTATCAATTTTTCAACTTACAGCAGGACCAGTGTTTGGTAACTGGACACAAACAAACTGCTCTGAAAGTCAGCCAAGTTCAAGGGGGCGTCAGCGAATCAGTGCCTGCAGCACTGAAATCTTCAGTGGAGTTTAAAAGGCATTTAGCTTTCAGACGAGCTAAATCAGATGCCCTAAGCAAGGGAGATGAGTTAAACTGAGCGCGTGTGAACCTGCAACTCGGAGACACTGCTTGGCATTTGTCTGTCTTTGATATGGCGACATGTGATGTGGATGAAGTTATCGCCTCACTGGCAGGTGAGACAGACAGCGGCACACAGAGAGATGCTGCCTTTTCATCTGCTGTTTACCAGCTCTCTCATCACACTGCACTTCAAACACACTCAATCTGCTGCTGCGACGTTACACACCAGGGCTCCTCCTGGCGGAAGTTTACTTAGAGCTCAGAGGGGGTTGCGCGCGTGTTTGCGTGTGTGTGTGTGTGTGTGTGTGTTTGTTGATGAGAAAAATATTTCTTGGAATCTGATTTGTGTGTGTTTTTTGTTCCTTGCATTTGCATTTCTGTGCATATTTTTGTACTTGCATGTGAAAGTATAAATGCTTTAGACCTTGATGGATATTTCCACTTCATGTGTATTGGTCTCACAGCTGCTGTAGGAAGCTGTTCAAACAGTTGGCATGTAATGTGGTGCCATTATGCATGTGTGTATGTTTGTGTGTCTTGCCCATGTTTGACTACTGCATATACGGGGTTGTCTCAGTGTGAGCCAGTGCTCTGTGCTAAACACGAGTCCTCAGTCGTCACATCAGTGTTCCCTCTCACTCTCTCTGCCCCCCATCTGACTCTCACTCCCTCTCATTGGGAGATAAAGAGACGAGCCATTTCATGTGGCCGTATAGAAGTCGTCTCCAGCCTCGGAGTTTGCAGGGAAGCTGTCACAGCAGCTTTTAGCCGGAGCTGCAACATGAAAGATCCCTCTTTGAGCAGTTGGGTTATGTGTGTAATTCTCTCTGACGTGTTTATTCTGCTGCAGTTTCAGCTTTCATTTTCAAATGTCACAGAAATCTCTCTCCTCCAAGAATATCCCTACTAATTACTGACTGATGGGGAAGGGTGTATCTGAGAACTTAGCAGGTTGCGCCCAAATACTGTTTCTCTTTCACAGCGTGTCTCGGCTTTAGACAACATGAAACAGAGTCATTTTCTGGCTTGAGACTCGAGTGATTTTCAGGTTTAAACTCGCTTATAAAATAAGAGAGAGGGAGGCCTTACTGAGAGAGAGCTGGAGGGAAGGTCTTGTGACATGTGTGTGTTTGTGTATTGTATGTGAAAATACAACCAACGAACTTCTGATTTAAACACATAGATACAGAATTGTACTTACATCATTTCCAATACTTATTCTCAACTCAACTTCGAAAGCCTAGCCAAACCCATATGCACATCATGTGAAAATATACATATTCGTAACCATGGCATTAAAACCTGCTCTTTTAGGATTTACATAATAGTTGTGGTTTCCCTGTTGATCCCCATCCATACAGGAGCTGGTGTAATTTTCTTGTCCATGTTCTCACGTTTGCCATTGTGAGTCTATACATCTGTAGCATTCACATGGTCCCATATAGCCAGAGGTCCTGTACACACCGGGTAGAGAAATAAATAAATAAATATATGTATATAAATATATGTACAGTAAGGGGTTATGCTGTTCCCATGGTAATATGACCCAGTCATCATGGGCTACAGGGGAGGGGAGAGACGGCATTTCGGCGTTTTTCTGTGGACACACTGTCCTGCTGTCTCCTTTTGTCTGTGTGTGTGTGTGTGTATGTCTGTGTGTATGTCTGTGTGTGTGTGTGTGTGGTGTTGTGGTGTGTGTGTGTGTGTGTGTGTGTCTCGCAGAGGACATAGCAATGTGGTCGTGATGCAATGTTCGCTGTTCGTCCTCTCTCTTTTTCTCTGGACAGGACACGTCCTAATGTCTGTGTGTCAGTAGATGAGTTCTCCATAATTTGTCTCCTCCTGCAGGCTGACGCCATCTTGCTGTCTCAGTCTCAGGATTCGTCCACTGAACTTGTATCTCCTTCTGTGTGTTTCTCTGTCCGCAGCAACAGGGGGCGGCCACCACGGTGTACTGTGCCGCAGCCCCGGAGCTGGAGGGGTTAGGAGGCATGTACTTCAACAACTGTTTCCGCTGCCTGCCGTCCATCCAGGCCCAGGACCAGAGCAACGCTGCCAGTCTGTGGGAGCTGAGCGAACGTCTGGTTGCTGAGAGGTCAGCAGGCATACAGGCCCTCTGATGGACGAAGGAGGAGGAAGAGGACGAGGAGGAGTGGGGGGGACTAGCCAAACAGGAATCAAAGAGGAAGGGTGGTGGGTCACGGTGATGTCCAGTTAGGTATAAACTGAATAAAAGATAACTGTACTCTGACTGCACTATACAAGAGAGCTGCCAAACCACAGACGTCCATCTGGATGTGTCACGTCACTACGGGGGCTAAAACACACTACATATACAGTACAGGAAGGGGTTTCATATACACTCAATTGATAAAATATAAATCAAAGTCTGAGTTGTGTTAAGCTCTGCTGTGGTAGTTTACAGTGGGGGGGTGGGGGACAGGAGAAGATTTGGGACAAATTCAGGGATCTCTTAAACTTTGTTCTGTCTCTGTTTTTGTCTCTGTAGCTTTTTATAACTCTGTCACGTCTTCTCTATTCCATGACAGTTTATTTAAAAGAGCAACGTTCAAAAAAGCAAATGACCTGTGTTGTTAACAAGACAGAGTTACTTAATAAGCATACACTCTATGGCATATGCATCTGATTCCAGCAATAGTGCACTATATGGCAAATATTGTGTCTTCCCAATTAATGTCTGTATATTCAGTATCCTCTTGTCTAGCTCTACGTAGATGTTGATGTTTCCTATTGAGATACAGAGAGCATTGGTTAATCATTGTGCTAAATCTTTTTTGGGCACAGAAGAAATGAGGAGTAATGGGCATGTGACACTTATGGATATATAAACACACTAGAGGTATGATTCTTATGGCTATATACATTATTCTGCAATAGTTTTATTTCTTATCAATGTCCCTATTCGTTTACTGTACAATATTTACAATATCCTGATTTCTGGCCATGTGCTAAAGGGGTGTGGACATCATATTTTTTCTGTTTGCTATTTGACTCAACCTAAGTATTAATAATCTATACTCTGGTAAGTCTTAATTACAATTTGGAGGTATTTATGGGACGATCTGTGTCCAGTTGAATACCAAATACAGATGGTGGAGAATCTTATTTCCAGAGCTATGGTCTTTAATTTCTGTGTTTCTTCCCTTGTGGTTTGTCAAGAAAAATGTGAGTGATTTCAGTCTCTTGTTTTTTTTTTTTTTTGTTTTGTTTTGTTTTGTTTTTTCACCATTGTTTTAATATTGAACTCTGGCTTTGGGTTTGCTGTGGATTGGTTGCCCTGAAGCCGCTGTTGGGACGCTGTTGAGACATTGTGCTTTATGGCAGTCTGGGTGCCGTAGGTTGCTCTTGAAACATCAGCATTCCAGTGTCATGATATCTGTGAAAACAAAAAAATAAAAAGGAGAGAAAGAGAATATTCAATAAAAATCTGTTTTACAGTAAAGTGTGTGTGAAATCCTTTCAACCACAGAAAGTGAGAAGTCCATTCATTTGCAGACCATTAGGGGGAGATATTTGTGTATGGAGCTGACAAGTAAGGATCACTGATGTCTGACTAAGTAGGACTGGCATCTACAGAGCCACTTTGCTTGATGATACATGTAATAAAACAATAGCATTTTTGTCTTTGCTTTGGTCATATGCCTTCTGTCTCGGCATAAAGCATTCAGGTTCCGTGTGCAACTGGACAGATCAAGCAGTCAACCCCACAGATGACCTGAACTCTCACGCGAATCCTAACCTTAACCTTAAGCTGCCTGAAGGACTCATTCCTCCTTTTAGAAAAGCAGCAGGATGACACACAAACACAACTGAACCGCAATTCATGATTCCTATTTTTGACATCTATTTTTCACCTTGTACTGTCTCTCTCCTTACAGTCTGTCTCTTTTTTCAGTATTTTCTGTCCCTCCTGTGCAGACACACTCACAAAATATCATCATAGAGTAAGGCATAAAAACATCAAAAAATAGTAAGGCATAAAAACATCAAAAAACGTCATAGTATAGTAAGGTATAAAAATGTCAAAAAATGCCATAGTATGGTAGGACTTAAAAATGTCAATAAAACATCACAGTATAGTAAGCCTTAAAAACGTCATAGTATAGTAAGGCATCAAAACATCATACTATAGTAAAGTATAGTAAAAAAAAAAAAAGTCAGAATAATAAAGCATAAAACGTCTTGGTATATATAGTAGGTCATATAGTAAGTCAAAAAACATCATAGTATAGTAAGACTTAAAAATGTCAAACAATGTCATAGTATAGTGAGGAATAAAAATGTCAAAAAACGTCATAGTATAGTAAGGCATAAAAACATCAAAAAACGTCACACTATAGTAAGGCATTAAAACATCAAAAAACGTCATAGTATAGTAAGGCATAAACGTCATAGTATAGTAGGACTTAAAAACATCAAAAAACGTCACAGTATAGTAAGGCATGAAAACATCAAAAAACGTCACACTATAGTAAGGCATAAAAACATCAAAAAACGTCATACTATAGTAAGGCATCAAAACATCATAATATAGTAAAGTATAGTAAAAAAAAAGTCAGAATAATAAAGCATAAAACGTCTTGGTATATATAGTAAGTTATATAGTAAGTCAAAAAACATCATAGTGTAGTAAGACCTAAAAATGTCAAAAAAATGTCATAGTATAGTAAGGCATAAAAATGTCAAAAAACGTCATAGAATAGTAAGACGTAAAAACATCAAAAAACGTCATAGAATAGTAAGACGTAAAAACATCAAAAAACGTCATAGAATAGTAAGACGTAAAAACATCAAAAAACGTCATAGAATAGTAAGACGTAAAAACATCAAAAAACGTCATAGAATAGTAAGACGTAAAAACATCAAAAAACGTCATAGAATAGTAAGACGTAAAAACATCAAAAAACGTCATAGAATAGTAAGACGTAAAAACATCAAAAAACGTCATAGAATAGTAAGACGTAAAAACATCAAAAAACGTCATAGAATAGTAAGACGTAAAAACATCAAAAAACGTCATAGAATAGTAAGACGTAAAAACATCAAAAAACGTCATAGAATAGTAAGACGTAAAAACATCAAAAAACGTCATAGAATAGTAAGACGTAAAAACATCAAAAAACGTCATAGAATAGTAAGACGTAAAAACATCAAAAAACGTCATAGAATAGTAAGACGTAAAAACATCAAAAAACGTCATAGAATAGTAAGACGTAAAAACATCAAAAAACGTCATAGAATAGTAAGACGTAAAAACATCAAAAAACGTCATAGAATAGTAAGACGTAAAAACATCAAAAAACGTCATAGAATAGTAAGACGTAAAAACATCAAAAAACGTCATAGAATAGTAAGACGTAAAAACATCAAAAAACGTCATAGAATAGTAAGACGTAAAAACATCAAAAAACGTCATAGAATAGTAAGACGTAAAAACATCAAAAAACGTCATAGAATAGTAAGACGTAAAAACATCAAAAAACGTCATAGAATAGTAAGACGTAAAAACATCAAAAAACGTCATAGAATAGTAAGACGTAAAAACATCAAAAAACGTCATAGAATAGTAAGACGTAAAAACATCAAAAAACGTCATAGAATAGTAAGACGTAAAAACATCAAAAAACGTCATAGAATAGTAAGACGTAAAAACATCAAAAAACGTCATAGAATAGTAAGACGTAAAAACATCAAAAAACGTCATAGAATAGTAAGACGTAAAAACATCAAAAAACGTCATAGAATAGTAAGACGTAAAAACATCAAAAAACGTCATAGAATAGTAAGACGTAAAAACATCAAAAAACGTCATAGAATAGTAAGACGTAAAAACATCAAAAAACGTCATAGAATAGTAAGACGTAAAAACATCAAAAAACGTCATAGAATAGTAAGACGTAAAAACATCAAAAAACGTCATAGAATAGTAAGACGTAAAAACATCAAAAAACGTCATAGAATAGTAAGACGTAAAAACATCAAAAAACGTCATAGAATAGTAAGACGTAAAAACATCAAAAAACGTCATAGAATAGTAAGACGTAAAAACATCAAAAAACGTCATAGAATAGTAAGACGTAAAAACATCAAAAAACGTCATAGAATAGTAAGACGTAAAAACATCAAAAAACGTCATAGAATAGTAAGACGTAAAAACATCAAAAAACGTCATAGAATAGTAAGACGTAAAAACATCAAAAAACGTCATAGAATAGTAAGACGTAAAAACATCAAAAAACGTCATAGAATAGTAAGACGTAAAAACATCAAAAAACGTCATAGAATAGTAAGACGTAAAAACATCAAAAAACGTCATAGAATAGTAAGACGTAAAAACATCAAAAAACGTCATAGAATAGTAAGACGTAAAAACATCAAAAAACGTCATAGAATAGTAAGACGTAAAAACATCAAAAAACGTCATAGAATAGTAAGACGTAAAAACATCAAAAAACGTCATAGAATAGTAAGACGTAAAAACATCAAAAAACGTCATAGAATAGTAAGACGTAAAAACATCAAAAAACGTCATAGAATAGTAAGACGTAAAAACATCAAAAAACGTCATAGAATAGTAAGACGTAAAAACATCAAAAAACGTCATAGAATAGTAAGACGTAAAAACATCAAAAAACGTCATAGAATAGTAAGACGTAAAAACATCAAAAAACGTCATAGAATAGTAAGACGTAAAAACATCAAAAAACGTCATAGAATAGTAAGACGTAAAAACATCAAAAAACGTCATAGAATAGTAAGACGTAAAAACATCAAAAAACGTCATAGAATAGTAAGACGTAAAAACATCAAAAAACGTCATAGAATAGTAAGACGTAAAAACATCAAAAAACGTCATAGAATAGTAAGACGTAAAAACATCAAAAAACGTCATAGAATAGTAAGACGTAAAAACATCAAAAAACGTCATAGAATAGTAAGACTTAAAAACATCAAAAAACGTCATAGAATAGTAAGACTCAAAACCATCAGAAAACGTCATAGTATAGTAAGGCATAAAAAAATCAAAAACCGTCACACTATAGTAAGGCATAAAAATGTCAAAAAATGTCATAGTTTAGTAAGGAATAAAAATGTCAAAAAACGTCATAGTATAGTAAGGCATAAAAATGTCAAAAAACGTCACAGTATAGTAAGGCATAAAAACATCAAAAAACATCATAGAATAGTAAGACTTAAAAACATCAAAAAACGTCATAGTATAGTAAGGCATAAAAACATCAAAAAACGTCATACTATAGTAAGGCATAAAAATGTCAAAAAATGTCACAGTATAGTAAGGCGTAAAAACATCAAAAAACATCATTGAATAGTAAGAAATAAAAATGTCAAAAAACGTCATACTATAGTAAGGCATAAAAACATCAAAAAACGTCATAGAATAGTAAGACTTAAAAACATCAAAAAACGTCATAGAATAGTAAGACTCAAAACCATCAGAAAACGTCATAGTATAGTAAGGCATAAAAAAATCAAAAACCGTCACACTATAGTAAGGCATAAAAATGTCAAAAAATGTCATAGTTTAGTAAGGCATAAAAACGTCAAAAAACGTCATAGTATAGTAAGGCATAAAAATGTCAAAAAATACCATAGTATGGTAGGACTTAAAAACGTCAATAAAACATCACAGTATAGTAAGGCTTAAACATCATAGTATAGTAAAGTATAGTAAAAAAAACGTCAGAATAATAAAGCATAAAACGTCTTGGTATATATAGTAAGTCATATAGTAAGTCAAAAAACATCAAAGTTTGGTAAGGCATAAAAACGTCAAAAAACGTCATACTATAGTAAGGCATAAAAATGTCAAAAAACGTCACAGTATAGTAAGGCGTAAAAACATCAAAAAACATCATTGAATAGTAAGGAATAAAAATGTCAAAAAACGTCATACTATAGTAAGGCATAAAAATGTCAAAAAATGTCATAGTTTAGTAAGGCATAAAAATGTCAAAAAATGTCATAATATAGGAAGGCATAAAAACGTCAAAAAACGACATACTATAGTAAGGTATAAAAACGTCATAGTATAGTAAGGCATAAAAACGTCAACAAACGTCATACTATAGTAAGGTATAAAAACATCAAAAAACGTCATAAGGCATAAAAACATCAAAAAACGTCATAGTATTGTAAGGCATAAAAACGTCAAAAAACGTCATACTATAGTAAGGCATAAAAACATCAAAAAACGTCATAGAATAGTAAGACTTAAAAACATCAAAAAACGTCATAGAATAGTAAGGCTTAAAACCATCAAAAAACGTCATAGTATAGTAAGGCATAAAAATGTCAAAAAATGTCATAGTATAGTAAGGCATAAAAACGTCAAAAAACGTCATACTATAGTAAGGCATAAAAACATCAAAAAATGTCATAGTATAG